AAAAAAAAAAAAAAAAAAACCTGACACCCAAAACTAAGGAAGGAAATGTTTATTTAGCTCACGGTTAGTGGAGGTTTCAGTCCATGCTCAGCTGGCTCAAGGCAGAGCAGCACATTGCAGAGGGCAGCTATTTCATGGTGGTAGAAAACAGAAAAGATCAAAGGGAGGAGCCCTAACAGCTCCCCACTCCCTTCATTATACTGAATTTGGGCTATCTGCCCCCAGGTGGGTATGGCACCTCAACACATAATCCCAACTTGGATCATGAATTAATCACAAACTCTAGGAGCTGCCCAATTGACTGTATGAGGCTTTGGGGGGACAACTAGACATGAGTCGTAACATGGTTACATATAATAATTTACATTCCCTCCCCTTAATTCTTCATTATACCTTACAATAGTGCTGTGGCATTGGTACTTTATCATTTTATGCAGAAGGACAAATTTTCTGTGTGCTGTAAGCAAGCCCAGAGGAGAGGGCTATATACAGAAGAATAGACAGAAGGTTGCTTAACAACATTATGTTAAAGAGTAGTTCATCTCTGAGACCACAGAAGAGCATAGTAGGAGCATTAGGGCTCTCTAGAAAAAAAGTCTCTTCCTCTCTCATCAAGCTGCAATTTCTTTGCAAAATACTTTCTGGTAGTTAAAAGAGAACTAGGACTTCTGGTACCAGACAAAATAGCAAAAGCCCAGTTTAACCTCTATCTCCCAATTACAACTAAGATTTCTGAAGAAAATACAAAAAGCAAATAGCTCTGGACAAAATACTAGGGTGATAATGAAAGTTAAAAGTTAGGGACAAGTGAGGGTGCAAAACCATGGAGTTCTAATGGCAAAAGGACATCTTTAAATTGTAATAAAAACAATTGACTCAGAATTCTATATACCACAAAAATATTCTTCAGAACAAATGTAAAATACAGTCATTTTCAAGTAAAATACAGAGATCGTACTTCTAAGCATAGACATAAGTAAAGTGAAACTAAAACCTACATTATATAAAAACCTATACATGAATGCTTAACTTACAACTATATTTATAATTGACCCCAATTGGACACAAATAAAATGTTCCTTACCTGAGGAATAGATTACCTATGGTACCTCCATATAATGGGATACCATTCACCAATAAAAGGGAACATATTACTGATACATATATTACTGAATCTCAAATGCATTATGCTAAGTGAAAGAAGCCACAATCAAAAGACTAAAATAGTTCATAATTCCACTTATATGGCATCTGGAAAATGCAAAACTATAGGGATAGAGAACAGGCCAGTGACTACCAGGCATTACAGGCTGGGGAGAGGGATGACTGCATGGTAGCTTCAAAGGAATGACTACCACCTTCACCACCATCATCACTTTTACAACTGCTGCATCTTGAATGTAATGCTAGTAACACGCCTATACATTTGCAAGAATTGTAAGCAAATGTAAGTAGCTTACTATTGACTTTATATGTTGAAAAGCAAATTAAAAAATGCAAAATTTGAAATCTTGATACATTTTTTCTAAAGAAAATTCAATTGACATTATAATTAGGTAATTGCACATATGTATAAATTAACAAGAAACAATAAATTTATTTGAAACTTTTGTTATAAAACATGATTTGAAAATAAAGTTTATTTGGTTTATATACTCAGGGGGAGTTCAGAAATCTCCAGAATACAACGCTACTATTCATGTTATCAATGTATAAATTTTGATATGCAAATGTTTCCAACTCTGTACTCTATCTGTAGCTATATGGTCACAATATTCATTTTTTAACCTGGTATTTAAAAGAATAGATTCTGTCATAAGTGTTACTATATACATTCACACACACAATAATTCATGTTAAGAAGAAAATTAAGTCATGCAATTAACTCAAAAGCTCTGCCCTGAGTCTTTCAACTTAACAAGATTTGTGAATGCATGTCATATTAATTTATGTTCTATAGGGATTGACTAGTAAAGTGTTACAGATTAAGTTTTAACCTACCCGGTCAAAGAGCGCAAAAAGTTGTCTCAAGACATCTGAAACAGGTAACTTTAAATACTCTGCAAATTCTTCAATTCCAATTTTTCCTCCCTTTGAGGAACTTGCAATAGATGCATATTCATCCAAGTGCTTACGAATACCATCCCAATCTAATCTACACCAAAGATGATAAAGAAATGTTATTAGCCATTTCCAATTCATTTGAATATCTTGTGAACATTGTTTGACTGCTTGAGGGAAAAATATGTGATAAATTTGGAAAGAAGAATAAAGCAGGTACCTAAAAATATATATGGAACACATAATTATGAAAAGGATTTAGTTTTTCACAGCATTTCCTAAATATCTGAGGGAAGTAGAAGTAAACAAGAAAAGCAGCATAGTAGAATAATAAATGAATTATGAGGAAAAAAATGAGAACAAAATTCAACCTAAACACTTCTGAGTAAGTCAACAATACTTACTGAGTTGTTACAAAAGAAATTATAAACCTTGTATTCAAATCTTGTTCTCAGGCTGATACTGACTTTATAGTTAAAAAATTTGTGACAGGGAGATTCATTAGACTATATACACTTGCTCCATATCAGTTAAAACAAATCACAGTGATGAACACTGGAAAATATACCATGCCGTACATCAACATCCCGTCATTGCCTTATAAACTGAACACATGACCTAACATACAACTAAATTTCAATGGCTAGCTCTACTTTTTAAATTCATGGAAGTATTTTGAACATAACGCCAAAATAAAAGCAAATATTTTGCTACCAACAAGATGTAAATGATGATGTTTTATATCATCTATGGAAATATTATATTTATGTTATCTCATATTGAATTTAGATAACAGTAACTGGTTCTGCAGCAACTTCCAAGAGAGGATGTTAGGTCTATTAAGTCAGCAGGATCTGAAAGTTCCTAATTAGAGCTAAGAACACAATGAATACCAGCAAGGGGGAGCTTAAAGGGTTATTTCTCTTTTATACCAAATAGCTCAAAGGGAATATTCTAAGTGGTTTAAACTATATCATAATGCACAGAGGTATATTTGCCTTAAAAAAAAAGATATCAAGAAAAACAAGTTTGATCTAGGTAAGTATGTAATGATCAGTGGGACTCAAAATTACTATTACAGGGGCTAGGGAGATGGTTCAGTAGAATAAGTGCTTGCCTGGCAAGCACAAGGGCCTGAGTTCAATCCCGGTTCTGCCAGAGAGAGAGAGAGAGAAAGAAAGAGAGAGAGAGAGAGAGACAGAGACAGAGACAGAGACAGAGACAGAGAGAGAGAGAGAGAGAGATCCTCAATCTAAAAAAAAATTACTATTACACAAATTTTCCACAAGTGAAATTCTGGCCATGACATGTCAGTCTCATGTACTTGTGACTCTTTTATAAGAAGGTCACGGGACTAACCAACCACTCTGAGGCATTTCCAATAGAAAGACAATATATATGGATTCATGTTTGCAGCTATGTCCTGATTTCACTCTGTGACTGATGTACATATCTTGGAGTGAACTATTTTAGAAAAAAACAAAAAGCTCAATAAGTAAAATGGGAGAAAAATCCAAAATCCTAGCTTTCTTCATAAACACCACATGGTCCTAGAGCTGAGCAATAATAAAGCAAGAGAAAAGAAATGTAATACAATTTCAGCTTCTTTTTGAAAACTTTTATGGAAGTGTAGTCATATTAAAGCCCACTTACTTCAATTTCTGGCTAATTTTGGTAAATTCCACCAACCCGGCTTCCATAGGCAATGTGAGCTGTCCTGCCGAGATCATCAGCCTGCAGTCTTCATACGTATGATCTGTTACTGGGATTCCTAGTGCTCTGAAAGTATTTTTAAAAAAAGAAAGAAAGAAATTCAATGTTTTTTTTAAAAAGTTATGATTTTTCATTAGGCTTGAGTCAATCAGCAAATGTTAGTCAATAGAAAAGTGTTTACCATTTTTCAGTTCAGTGACTACCACTTTTCTTGCCAAAGGAACATGTTTCTCTGATTCTTCACAGAATTACAAACAAATGGCTCAAGTGAAACTCTTCATGCCTGCGTGTGTAGCTGATTTTTTTGTTTTGTATTGAAACAAGGACAACAATTGTAGTTAATGGTGTCATGGAAAATACTCCAAAGACAGGTTCATATTCTGTCTAGGTCTTTTACCAGACATGGACCCTTCAGTATTTGGCCCTAAGCTTCGTTCTTCTCATCTGCACATTGGAATATTGTGCTACTTCACAATGGTATTGCAAAGACAAAAGTAAGAATGCCTGTTTAAACCAATACAAGGCATCTGTACATGCTCCAAATGAAAAATCTATCCAAACCATTCTTTTTGTTTTGCATTTTTATAACTACAAGTCAGCCTTTTTGCTACAGTCTTGTAAAATATTGAAACAAGTTGACACTAAGCCGATGTCTCTTCTAGACCTAACATCTCATATTCCCAAAGGAGTACATGACTCTCGCTGTGCACCTCACAACTTCTGAGACTGAATGATATGAAGGAGATTGAGAAAAAATATATTAATAAAAACTGATAAAAACCATTCAGTATGCAGAAGGCTGCACAATACTTGAAATAATGGCCTAAAGATTATTCTTCATACAGTTTTATTTACAAATTTTCCTGAAAAATCACAAAATTACATCCTAAACTATATTTAACCTTGCTCGATCATTGTAAGGAATATTAAATTTTGAATGAATGCAAGCTGAACAACACTTTTCTTCTACCTAATACAGGTTTTCTGGATAATAATTATTCTACTTCTGAATAATAAATATTTTATTATAAGAATATTTAAGATGAAAAGTACAACTATAAAATATTTCAGGAATTATAATACTAAACAGTACAGCATAACAGTTAAGAGCTGGAGCTTTGCTAACGGAATACGTGGATTTAAGTCCAGCTCAGTAGGGAGTTGGTATAATTTTAGTCTGACTATTTACCTTCCAGAGCCCATTTCCTTACGTCATAGAGCTGCTATGTGAGCAACATTAGAAAACACTAGCAAAGAGCCTGCCAAGGTACATGGTAAGTATTTATTAGTAGCACTTAGCAGCTCCACCATCACCTTATGTCTGTTTTGCTCCTTACCATTTTCACATGCTTTCATCATGTATTTTTCTGCTTGAGTCTCATTAGTAATCAATACCATGAGAAAAATCAAGGTAATAATTTTAATCCCCGTTGCACACACGAAGGGAAATTTTGAAGAGATCATGCTCAAGTTTGTGCAGCTACACAATTTTCTTTCTTTTTTTTTTTTTTAACTCTTAGGCCTCTCCAAATTCAGAAAGCTGCCTAGCCAAATCCTTTCTATTTTTAGGTACATTTTGGGAAACCAAAATATCTGATATAAACTCTCTCAGTCCCTAATACTCATCTTAATTCTTATGTTCTTTTGACTATAAACTGGAATTACCTACAATATTTAAATGGCAATGGAATACCCATCTCTGACAAAACTAAACAAAAGGGGACATAAATGAAGGATCGTTTTGTATCTGTATATACAAAATAGGATATATACATAGCTATTTTCTCCTAATTCAATGAGAAAAAAGATTTGTACTAATTGTGTTTGGACAGGATATCATGTCTGCATCTTGTAGCATGAATAACTACTATGAAGACAACAATATGCAAAGTATTATTATAACTGTTTTACTAACCTGTTTTGAAACTGTCTAATTGCTATTTCTTTCTCAATAAAATTAATAATAAAAAAGTCATGAAAACATATGAAAGAAATGGAAGAAAAATAACACAAAAGCAAATTTTGTAGTTAACCTGAACATTAGACAAAGCAAGCATACTTACCAAAAAAAACTTGCTAAATATTCATTGTATTTTATTTATTTATTTATTTATTTATTTATTTATTTATTTATTTTGAAATGGTAGATTGGAGATTTCACTACAGAAAGTAAAATGATTACAACAAAGTTTGGGGAATTACATGATGCTATCTTCAGGCTGATTACAAGACATAAATTTTTACTAGTCATTTAAACAAAATGATACCAATCACAAAGAAGTTGTAAGAAATTCAGCAGAAGAAGCAACTCAGAGTAAAATCATTGCAGAAGAGTGTAGGTAGTTTTATTTTCAGATTAGGTTGCTCTTTTGCAAGGAGAAGTTCATACTTCAATGATTTCATTGTATTTTAAAACAAGAATTATTTTACTGTGAAATGTATATATATATATATATATATATATATATATATATAGAGAGAGAGAGAGAGAGAGAGAGAGAGAGAGAGAGATCAAATTCAGCTCTGAAGCTAAATTTGAAATCCCTATTGGATTTTTAATAACAGAAAAACATTACTGCTGGCCTATGTGCACCAAACCTCCTCCTGGGGGGACTGCAGGAGGTGATGCCCAGGGAAAGGCTGTGCACCCGGAGGGTCTCGAGGCTCCCTGGGTGGTGGCAATGCAATAGCACACTCTTTCATTACAAGACAGGGTGATTTAACTAATTACAACACTAACCAGGTAAAACTGCCTAACGTGCAGGTAAGTACCTTACATTTTTCAATTTCTAAAGCCTGAATTTATAGCTATTCCTTCATAAAGGTAACTTTTTTCCTTTTCTGTGCATCTTTTCCATTTGCAAACTTTCTCCACTTTAGTGCTACAATCATTCATGCCTTGGAACTCTCTTAGGCAACTGGATGGAGCTGAGGGGACAGAAAGCAGCCCAGCAAGTCACTACTGAGACTGTCACAGGGTTTTTTGACAGAGACGAGCCAGTTAAAGAGATTTCACTTCTGGAAGGCACAACAGGTCCCTTCTGATCATCCACCTCCCTTGTCTGATAACGATGTATCGCCATTAGTTTGGGGCTGTGGCTGGAGAAACATTTATAGTTTCATTGACTGTGCCTCTGAGCCCATTACTGATTAAAAGGAGTTGAGAAATGAGGCTCCCACAGGAGGAAAAATGCCTTAGAAATACGTCAGGTGACATACACTAATAATTTCAAAGTATTTACTGGTCAAGCTCATACAGATACTTACTCTGCCATTAAATTCCGGACTCTACTGGCAAAAAGAATGGGATCCTTTATTTCTTCATCACTTGGTGCCTGAACAGGCATAAACTGAAAGACAAAGACACATTTCCATAACTATTCTTAGTCCTAAGACAAGAAATGCGAAGAAATGTAAGGCATAACCTATCAACATATTTAAGCCTCTACTTCTCTACATTTCTTTTTTTTATTGTTTTAATCAATTTTATTGAGAAACAAATAGCAATGAGACAGTTTCAAAAATTAATACATTGTATACTGTTGTCTTCATAGTGGTTATTCATAGTATAAGATGCAGACATGATATCCTGTCCAAACACTATTAGTACAAATATTTTTTCTCATTGAATTAAGAGTGGCTGTATATCCATCCTGTTCTGTATCTATGGTCCTTCATTCATATCCCCTTTTTTTGTTTAGTTTTATCAACAGAGATGGGTATTCCATTGTCATTTAAATATGGTAGTTGTGTGAATTCAGCAAAATATTCCAATATAGTCCAGTAGTCCATAATAGTAGTTATCCATAGGACTGGCAATGTCAGAAGTTGTTGACTTGAGCCTTTTATAGCTCAGCTTATTAATATGGTTTTAATTTTCATACTTCATTTTTTAGTAATGTTCATTGAACATTTTTCTATTTTACTAAGAAACAAATGTCAATGAGACACTTTCCAAGCTGATTAATGGGACATCTTCAATAATTAGTACATTGTGCATTGTTATCTTCTCAGCAGTCATCCACAGCACAAGAAGCAGCCAGGACATCCCTTCCAAACACTAATACTATAAATCCTTCCTCACTGAACCAAGCAAAAGCAGCCATACACCTATCTTGACTATTCTGTATAAACAAATACAAAATGATTCCTCCTCTGTATCCCTCCTCTCCAGTTCAGTCCTGTCAGAGATGCATATTCTATTAAGCCTCTACTTTTCTAGAACATCATTTAAGGATGCTTGGACTAATGAGGCGTACATCCAGGCCTTGGGTCTGCCTGTATACCAACTTGGCGAAAATATCCCTTCAACTCTAAAAAGAGGGCTCTGATCCCCCACTGCCCTGGTTGTCCCGAGGGTGAAATAAGCCACTGTCGGGAATGCTGGGAGTTATAAATCTGTGGCTATTAATATACTCTCAGCACTGCATTTTTCAACTCCCACTCCTTTATATAAAATATTCTATTTTCTTTTCTTGTTTATTTTTATAGTTCTATCTTCTCTGCCCATTCCAATAGCAATTATATATTTTTTTCATTTATTTGAACTTGGTTTTATTATTTTTTCCACTTCAAAAAATTTTAGTATTGGCTTCCTAGTTTTTTCCTTAACATCACATTTTGTTATATCATTTTTAATTTTACTTTTTTTTTCCAACCTGGTATTTTATGATGCCTCATGTGTATCCTCCTTGTTTAGAGTTATGTTTTTCTAACCCTGACACACCTGTGCTGCCATTTTCAAGTCATTACATATTTTGGAGGCACCTACAATATTCACTCAAAGTTGATTACCCCCCACTCAAAAGAAGATCTCGGTTTTGGTAGGACAGATCAACACACCATGATCCGTATATGCTAAGTGTCATTACCCTTATGACCTTAAATATAGAAATATAGATGGGATGGAAAAACTTCATTAACTTGCCCAGTGTCACATAAGTTTCATGGTCTGGATATAGCCCAAGGCTTTTCAGACTTTATTTTTCCTAGTTACCATCCTTTCTGGAGTATGGAGAGTCAGGGATAGATAATGATAAATTATGCCAGGGGCAGGAAAATGCAGCCAAGGCTGCAGGTGATGCCTGGAGAGAGGGTATACACAGAAGAGCTAATTCTGTAGAGGGTGCCCTACAGAACAGCCAATACTTTATCATGAACTTCGAAGGATAAGCATGACTTTTACCACCAGTTACCATTATGGGATTATAAGTGGTACATTGGTTCACAAACTTAATTCTTGTCCTTGATTCTGGCCATGAGTTGGTCATGAACCAGCCAATTTCAGTGGTTGCAGTCAATGTTAGCCTAATAGAGAAATCTGTTTCATCTCATGACCAATTCGGGTTGCAACCAGAATTATGGTAAAAACTAAGTTTGTGAACCGAGGTAGGTGCCAAGGTAACTAATAACAGGTAACGTGCTAAATGTGTTTTGTATGCATTTTTTCATTTAATTCTTCCTCTTTTTATCATAAATAGAGTTTACAATGATTCAACTACTTACTAAGACATCACAGCTCAATTCCATTCAACAATAATGCTTAAACACCTATTACATGCTAGGCGTTGCACTAATTGAGGAAATGTGGTGGTAAAGTCCTGTTCTCTAGAGGTTTTTCCATGCAGTGCAGAGGCAGTTTACGATGCAATGAGCTAAGCAACCCGAAAGAGCTACCATCCATCAACCTACTGTGCACTGGATACTTTATGCTACTGTCTTTATATGATTGGGTCTTGCAGTAAATTTGTGAGGTAAGTTCTACCATTTCCACTTCATAGGTGAAGAATGGGGCTTGAAGACATTAAACAACTTAGCCAAGGCCATCTGTACATAGTACTGGTGGGGCAACTCTTTGAAAGGTAAAGAAAGATTTGTGGAAGAAATACTACCTTTTACCCAACAGACCTGTTTTCAAATCTTGTTCATCGCATTAAGAAGCCTATAGCAGTGGCGACTCAAAATAAAGTTTAAGCAAAGCAGTGACAAGACCAGGTCCCAGTATTTGCACAATAAGCTGAGGGGTAGGGAGCGAACACACCAAAGAGGGGAAGGCTAAGAGCAAAACACCTGGAAGCTACTTCAATGGTCTCATGAGAAGCCTTGAGATTTGGAATAGAATGCAGAGGATAACGGGGGTACAGGAGGCATTCTTAACATTAAGTACTTAGAACTTACAGAATAACACACATTTATTTTATGAACTTATTCTCCAAGACAGCAATAACATGCCACAGAGAGAGTAGATGCCTTGAAAACTCAAGGCTGAGTGCACCTACAAAAGATACCTCACCTATATAGGGCCCAGGTCCTTCTGTCTAATGATGAAGTCTCCTTAGAGAATCTCTAAGGTCCTTTCCAATTAGAGTCCAGTGTGTAGCTCTCTATGGAGCACTCCATTTCTCTTTAAAGAGGAAAAATAAACTAAGCCACCAGAGGTCCCCACATCACTTAAATATCCAGAGCAACAAATTGCAAATGTTTATTAATAAAAATTCCTTCCAATTTGATCTAGTAAAATTTCCTACATATTCTTAGTAAGAAATTTCAAGAAACAAAACAAGTTAAAATCAATGTTCATAAATTATCTGACAAAATAGTATATGAATGTTAAATTGTAACTTGCCAAATCATTCTGCATTTTTAAAGCAAGAAAAATGACTATTTATACTACACTTGATTTATATAGGCCATAAAACACATGCACATAAAATCTCCAAAAAATAAATTGCTGCTGTGCTGTTAATCAAATATAATACAATGAACTATGAATTCAGCTTCTATTAGCACAGGTAATATTTTTCATCAAATGACTTTTAATAACTTTCCTATTTCCATGGTGTTTTATCCTTGAGGAAATAAATTCCACTGGGAGCACAAAGTAATTGAAAGCCTGGATTTGACACTCTTGGGCCTTGGGGGACCTGCACCTTCTAAGGAACAACTGACGGAAATTCTAACAAATAGTCACCTTCCCTAGGCTACAACCTGGCCCTTTATACCGCATTTCAATTCTGTACCAAGTCATGCATGACTCAGAGCGCAGCATGAGCAGAAGTATGAGCATAGGCTTTATTTGGAAGAAAGGTGAGCCAAAGAGAGACGAACTTGGCTGCCATTATCTTTTTATGGCTCCTTGCACACATGCAATTCCCCAGGGACTTTGGGACTCAGTTTCCCCTCCTTCCTCCACCTTCTTTCATTATCAACAGTCACAGTGGTGACATGGCTCCATGTGGCATCTAGATTTCATGGTCCCATCCCTTGGTCATGGATATTCTTCTGAACTCTACATCAGCCACAGAAACACAGGGCTCAAACATTATGACCCTACTGTCTTTCTTTCCTCTGACACATCCTTCCATCTTTTTCTCCTCATTTCCCTGAATATTTTTGTCTCCCTCACCCAGTCTTGCATAGGCCATGGCAACCAAGTGGGCACATCAGGACCTGCTCATCCTTCTTCTTTCCATCTCTCTGGCTTCATCTGTGTGCCCACCTACCGTGGACCTGGGAGCTTTTCTGCCACCTACCGTCTCTCATTTCTGCTGTACTACAGTGGATATCACAAATCTTCTCAGATATTTCTGCTCCTGCATTTGTATCCCTGATGGAGACTGCTGAGGGAGACTTATCTACTTTACACATACCCTATGCTTTTCAAGCTGCAATTCCCCTTTTTTCGCAGTGTCCTGATCACATTTTTAGACAGAGGACAAGCTAGGAAATTCTATTTCTTTTTCCACTGTACTGGAATGGATCCCACACATCCATTCCCCAGCCTACTTCAAATGTTCTCCACTCCTTCACATACTTTATTCTGCCCCATCCTGCACTCAGTGAGGAGGACAAGCTGACAAGTTTTCTAGAAAAACAGCTCTTGTTTGTGATTTTGACTCAGAGTCTCCCATTGGCTCTTTGGCTAAACTACACATAGTATAAAGCCAAAAATCCTCAAAAAGTTATCCATAAACTACAGCCAGTCCTCTAGATCAGTGGTCAGTAGAACCAGCTTATTCATTGTTTCTACTAAAGAAATGATGAGCAGAAAAGGAAGATGGATGACTGACTACACCATGATCAATCTTTTCTTGTAACAGAAAAGACTTTTAATCTCCATCTCAATGAGTGTGCAGCTCTAGGCTACACACTTGTGTTAACACATTATGAGAAGAGAAATATCTGTACAAGAAGGGAAGTAAAAGTTGATACTGAACACTTGCTACATGTCCACAGATATGCAACATTATTAAATCCTTATGACCCTATACAATCAATGTTACTATCACCATGTTTCCAGTGAGAACACAGGCTTAGAGAGATTTAAGTAATTTTCTTAAACACAAACAGA